CTTTTTTAACTGCATTTCGTGTTTTAGGTTTTTCTGTATTTGATAATTTTTAAGGAAGATACTCTTGAGTTTTTATGCATTTTTGCTTTGCTGCAAAGTGAAAACTGAATTGATTGAATTGGAAATATATTTGTAATGAAATTTGAGGAAATGTGTGTAAATAAAATGCAGTAAAAAATGTGTATAATTAATAGGCCGTACAAGGAAGTCGTGGTATCCACATCAGATATTTTTTATTAAACTTACTTGATTGATTCTTTCAGAATTTGAAATTTAAGTTCAATCTGAATAAAAATAACACAGATTTTATGATTTATTTTTAAAATTTGTATTTTCAAGTAATTTTAAAAAATTTTTTCAAAACAAATTTTGAATTATAACCTGTAAAAGTTTTACCATCATCGTAAAGTAGGTGTATTTCTAGGCATACCTGCAAAAAATTGAGTTTATTATTGAAAATTTCTGAATATATACATGAATTTTGATATTAGTACATTGTGAAATTTGGCATATTTGTTATAATTTAGCGCAAATCTATTTGTTTTGTTATAATCTTTAATGAATTGCAAAAGTTATTTTAAACCCTAAATTTCCAAACAAATTTTTACTGCACGGTGAATTTCTTTATCTTCAGTTTTATGATATATATATTAATCCTTAGGGTATGGATTTATTAAAAAAAATTCTTCTGTTGACTTTTCACAAACAGCATTCACTGAAGTATAGGAAAAAAACTTACTCTAACTGATACCAATCACTTTTGCCATGAACAAGAATGTACATGTTTAATTTTGCCCAAGTTTGAATGACGATTAAGATTCATTATCCATAACTTACGCAAAACAAGTGCATAACAAATCATCAAATGTACGCAATGGGTTAATTATACATGAAAATCTGTTTTTTAAATTTATAAAAAAAGAATATTAATCAAAAGTTTAAAGACTTTTTTTTTTTTTTTTTTCGTTCATAAGAGAAATTTTTTAATATTGCCAATTTATTTTTCTGCTATTTTGCTTAACTTCATTTTACATGCAACAAAATTTATTTTGCTGATTTCAAAATTTTGCATCATATATGCATTCAAAACATCAAACATTGCATCAAAAATATATAGATAAAACATAGTCTTCTACTACAGAAATGTTTAACAGCAGCAGAATTTTCTAAAATATTAGATTTTTATTTTATTTTCCATTTATAGCAAAGGCAACAAACAAAAATGATTTTGAAGGTTCTTTATGTCCAAACATATTTCATAGCTTTACTGCATGGTAAATTTTTTAAATTAGCTATTGCTTACTTTTGAAAGGGCTCCTAGTTATCATCAAAAATCTCCCCCCCCCAAAGAAAACTATATTTTTATGCAAATATAGGATTTAGAATAAACTCATTTTTAAAGTCAAATTGTGATTTGTCAAGACCTGAATTCTAATCATTAGTAATATAATAAATTATGATTATTGTTACCTTTGTTTTCACATTATTATTATTATTATTGTTACAGTTTCTGTTATATTAAAATTTATTAAAATTCTTAATACTTATTTCAAAAATTTAAAATGTGCTCCTTCTCTGTGCACATACTCCTAATAATTTTATATCAATGAAAATTTTAATACCTGAAAATTTCTACTCTTTCCATCAACTTTGCCAAAATGTACTTAGACCATTGACACTGTATCTATCATATTCCTCCCAACAGGATACCTACACTAGGCTTTGCTGAGTTTCTGGTTGTCTTAATTTAGAAATGTGCATTTAGAAAATTGTGCATAAATTAGGCTGATTGATTATTTAAAAATAGCAAAGCACATGGAGGCTATCTGCGTAAGGGGAGGAATGCCTTTAGAGGACATTCACATTTGACATGCAGAAAAATCACAAAGACCATGCAGTCAGCTCATTTGCATGGCTTAGTTTCTGAGACAAGATACCAGCAGTCCTTGACTGCTCAGACATTAGTAGGATTGCTTAAATTAAGAACCATATTATTAGATTTGTAATGTTTCTTATGTTAACTAACCAGTTATTGTGATTCAAGTGTTTACTATAACTTGTCTTTTCCATATTCCTCAACAGAATGCAAATTAGCTTTGTGTGAATTTAAGCTGAGGGTTTTGAATCTTTAATTAAGTGGGCTTCTGGCAGTCGTGTCTTGCTGTTGATATTTTTAGCCAGCTTTGTTTAAAAATTATATTCCTGTTTTAGCTTCGCACTAGCTGATGTGTTAAATATGTGCTGATAAAATTAATGAGATAGCTTATTCTATTTAATGTGCAGTCTTGGACTGTGTTATTGACATTTTAATTCAATAGTATGTTCTGTTGATTTAAAATATCCACAAGTCGTGGAAATTTTGTCTGTAGCACGAGTTGTGCCTTTGTGTTCAAACTGAGAGTAAAGTAAAAGGGTTATTTAAACCTTCTTCTGTATTCTATGAGTTGTTCAAGAATTAGCAATAATTCACCATCTGTCTTCTAATCTTACAGGTTCTAATTTACTATTTAATTTCTATTCTAATTTAATTTACAAATATTTCAAGTATAAGAGCTGGATTTAGACTTGATAATGTCCTAAGCTATTTGAGATATGGGCTTTTTATAAGTCTGTTATACTATATTTTAAGTTTTGGGGCTCCCCAAGAAAGTTGGGACCCTAAGCTATAGCTTGTACAGCTTATACGTAAATCCTGCACTGATTATTATATACTCAGGCACAAACAGTAGAGTTTTTTTAAACTACAAATTATAATACAAATGAACATTTACATTTTCTATTATAGTAGGAAACAAGAATTCCATAAAGCTTGGGACTAGAGGTTGTGCGGATTTTAGAAATTTCTGGATTACAGAACATTAAAGATAAATCAGAATATTTATACTAAAAGTGCAAAATAAATAAGGACATATACAAACATTAAGGATATATAAAATAAAGACATGAAAATAAGAAATGTTAATAAAGCATAAAATATTTCTTACATGTTTCGAACATTTTTCTGCTAAATGTTTGTTTTAAAACTTTAGAATGCTCCAGAGTATGTTTTTCTTTTAGCCCAAAGGTCGTTAATCCAGAAGGGCTATTAATTTTGTTTTGGCATTTTGCATTCAGTTGCTATAAACTATGTATCACTTTTCAAATGCTACCAAATGTTAGAGCTGTGCATTATATTTAAAAGAAATTAAATAATGAAGAATCTGCATAAATGTGTGTATGTTTCTCGTATTATGATATAACAACGGTACCTAGAGCCATCAAATTTTGAATAACATATATCCTCCACCCGAATGTGGGCATTTGGAAGCCCTAATTAGGAATTAGTTTTATTATTTATTTGATATTTTGTAAAACCTTTAATGAATTTATTAATTAACAAACTCGACAATTTCAAAGCAAGCAATGGCAACACTGTATGGGAAAAAAAAAAAAAAAATTTATCTCAGCACGCGAGACTGTGAATCAGAAATTCTAAGGATATGCTCTTTTTAAATTATTTTGTAATATTGCTGATGGATTGAGTTTTATGATTTAAGTGTAAAGAACGTGATATTTAATGAATAAAGGCGACACGCAAAACATTAGAAAAAGGTCCCTTTGGGCGTAATATAAAATCTGAAAACTTTCAGATAATTTTATTTACTTTGCTCTCTCTATATAGAATTTTAATCTCTTGCTATGTAACACAGCTATATTGTTCTAAAAAATTTTTGGTATATTTCACCATGTTCCAAACCTTTATTAAAATATATTTTCTCACTCCTACCAAATTCACTATCTGTGTCAATGTTGGATTCACAGATACCTTCCTTCTTTCCCCCAGTTCCTTCCTCAATTCCTTCTTCCAAATCACACGTACATTCCTTTCATTGCTTTGCAGCATCATTAACTTGTTTCATATATTTTTAACCAGAAAAATAATGGAAACATAGCTTGGGTTCTTCGCAAGCTCGGGAATTACACTGGAGTACATAATAAAAACTGTATCTTTACTTGCTTTTAAGCTGTGTGTGATGCACACAACAATCAATGGCAAATGATAAATTATTATATTATCACAACATGCCTAACGTTCCTATATCTACAACATGGTGTGCCCACCAATGGCCAAGTAGTAAATTTGTTGAACACTGGTAATTTGACTTGAGTTTGAATCCAGGTGAACAGGCTGGCTGCATAGGCGTTTTCGTGGCTGTTCCCATGTGTAATGTGGATATGAACCAGTTTCCCTTAGAAAGTTGTTCGCAAAGGCATCAATTTTCTTAGGCAGATAGCCTTAGCATGTTTCACCGTAATCAGATAAACCAAAGCAATATACCATGTTGTATTGACAGACAGTAACCTTTATTATGTTCCCACTTTTTAGCCATTCGATGGAATATCAGAATGCTGGGAACGCATATTGGTTTTACTTATCTATCAAACGAAAGTCCTAGATGTTAAAGAGTTGTGATGTCATGTATGATATCATGGGTGTGTTGATATTTATTGGATTAGAATCTCCTTGTATTTTGCCTGAGAATCGAGACAATCTTTTGCCTTGAAAAAGAATTTTAGGAGGAACTGTGTTTGAATTGGAAGACATTCTGTTGAACTGTAATTTTTGTATTCATACCCAATGAGATACATTCTGCAAAAGAAGAAAAGAAAAGGAAAATGTGGTCATGTGTCTAATGAACAATAACCTTTGCATGCACTGTGTTTATAAAGGAGTCTAGCAAATGTTCCACTAAAATTAAATGATATTTCAAATTTAGATATTTACAGCAATTGCCAAAAATTTCAAGTCCTCTTTTAACGTTTTCTTAGTGATTTCCCCTTCCTTGATGTTTGTTTTAAAGTAATGCCGAATAGTATGGTACTTATAAACAAGCTATCTTAAGGCAAAAATGAAGAAAGCAATTAATTATAATATATCTTTGAATTTTTGCAGAAAATGAGGTAAAATATATAAATTTTTCTTATGCATGATGTCTACCAATTATGTTTTATTTTATTAGGAATATTAAGTGGATATCAGTTATTGGAGAAAATAATCCCAAGGTCTTGAATAACATTTTCGAAACTTTTAAATGTAAGCATAATAATAATGTATTGTATAATCATAATTCATGTATAATTAGTTGACTTAAAATATTACAATAATTCAATTAGTGTAATATCTGCTGAACTACAAAAACTTAAACACAAGGCTAATTTACATTGCCATAGAATAGTTTTTGCCACACAATTTTTGTTTCATTATAATGTATTTTAATATTTTATTTTTTATAATCAAGTTTTTAATCAATACACACAAATATTGGAAAGTAAAACTTTTTTAATATCTTTTATTTTAGATATTAGAGTTAAATGTTGTGGATGTAATGAAGACATGGATGTTACATTCTTTATCAAATGTATTAAATTTCAATGAACCTGGTTTCCTTCGTGTACTGACAGCTGTAATACTAGCGTCATCAGTAATACTGAGGCAACATTTTAATATAAAAGGATTCTGTTGTAAATTGTTTATTTAATTCTAAATTTTTATGGGAGATTGCTGAGTTTTTTTAATTTAAAATTAAATTGTCATGTATATTGAGGCCCTGAAAAAACAGTGATTTTATTGGCCTTTATTTTGTGTGTGTGGTTATGGCAAAGCCTCGAGGGCTATCTGCCTAAAGGGAGGGATGCCTTCGTGGAGGACTTTCTAAGGGAAACTGGCTCATATACACATTACACATGGGGAAAATATTTTCATAAGGAATAGTATTCTGTTTAAAATGAAGGAATAACTCCGTCCATTTTTGTCTGTTTCCATATTTGCAGACAACCAACATTTAATTTTTTTGTCAGTAATGTATCTTTTTACCAATGACACCTCATCAAAAAGATCATTTTTACAAATATTATTTTTCGGAAAATGATTATTAATAAATTAAAAAGATTTTTCCAGATATTCCCATAAAATCTCCTTTTTTAATGTCACCCAATGAAAGTTTTTAATGTCCTCGAATTGAACTGTCCGTTTTTCAAGATATTCCAAGCAACTATTATAAAAATTTCTGACTCTTTCAGAAAATCAGGTCGTTTATTATGGCACCTTGTTCTTCCAATCTAGTGATGTCCTTCGGATAACTAAAGGAACGTAATCATTATCAATTCTTTCTCGCAATTTTGTTTTTAAGTTATTGATTTCATTTGACACTTCCGTAATTAAAATTTTGTCCCAATTTTCACAGCATTGTGAAATAACATAGCTTGGTTGTGGATGAACAAAAGACAAATTTGTGATGGGGCATTTTCAAAAAACAGCTGCAAAATTCTTGGACATTTATCTTGTGATAAAAAGTATGATTTTAATGGTTCGTATATTTTTAAAATATTTTCTGCAGTTGGTAAAAGATCTAGCCATCGTGTTTTGTTGTAATCAATAATTCTTTTATATTCGATTTCTGTGCTTTCACAAAAATCCTTCAAACTTTCGACATTCACAGTAAATATAATAAATAAATTTTTCAAATAATATTTTCAACATCCACTGGAAGTATGTCAGATGCTGTTTGAATAGTATTATGTAGAATGTGCACTGCACAACCTACTCGAATAATCTTTTAGTTCAAACGTTCGTTAAGTTTTATAAAAACGTATTGATGCCTCTTCTAGCTTTTCCACCAAAATTTGAGTTAGTGCCAACAATAAAATTATTTTCTCACATTAGGCAATAATTTTATTGTTCAAATTATTCTTTTCTAAAATAGTACTTATTGTATCAAAAATTATTTATGAAGTTTCACCTGCTGCCAGATGGTATAGTGGTTAGGGGAGCCTGACTGCAATACCGAAGGGTCTGGGTTCGAATCTCAGAGAAGGCATGGTTGTAACTGTCTGTCCCTTCATAGGAGGCAATAGTGGCCCACCTGTTAGGTGCCTCCATAATAAAGAGACCAACACATCTGTCCTTAATATAGATTAATGGACTCTGTTACAAAACTGTAACTCTTCACAATCTGCCACTGGAAAAAAAAAAGTTTCACCCGACAATGAAACAAAATATAATATTCTAATTTTAATTTCTATTTCTGGATCAAAAAGTCTAACAGTTGTGGGAAACAATTTTAAATGTTTGTTGTTGGAAGCATCTTAATATATGGACATAAATGTGCATTTAATCTAATTCTTTCTGCAATTTTGAAAACAAATATGGTTAAAAAACATTACAAATAATTGCTTCGGTTTTTGTCCTTGCACGTTCAAATTTTTTGCCGTACAATGTCTTGATCATTTGCGACATAAAATTAATTGATATGAAACTTTGATTGTGATTTTAGTGTGGAGAGCAAATAGTCCTTCAGCTACTGCTAGCTGTTCCTCCGTTAACAATAGATAGTTTTTGACAAGACGCAACGACAATGATTGAACACGTCCACCGAGTAAATGTAACTCACTACATCGTCTAATTTAGTTTACTCTGCATGCATTTTATTTATTATTTTTTATTTCTTTATATTCACTGTAATAATTAATAAATAATAGGTAATATTTTTTTACAGTACATTTAAAATAAGAAATGCAGATATTTTCTAAAAAGTGGGACGCCAAAATCGGGACGTGAGGTCACCTTATTTTAAACAGTAATGGAAATAAGTAGGTTTTACTTTCTAAATTAAGGAAGGAATTCATGTATAATCAAAACATGATAAAGCAACGAATAGCGGCTATCATGAAAACAGAAGTCATCAAAATTATACTAACCAAATGAAAGAAGGGCTTAATCCTAGTATACGGTGCACATGAGAGTTGGCGAAATTCGCGTTTAAGAGACTAATAAGTGCGCCAACTGTGGTAACCAAGCCGATTTTGATGCTCTGGAGGAGAGTGCATTTGGGAGCATTTTCGCGCATGCTCATTAAATATTTTAAATTGAGAAGTTTTGATTGGTGCAGATGGAAGAGAAGAATTATTTCAAACCATTGTTTGAAGTTCCGTTAATCTGTCTTCGGTCTTCGGCTGAACTGAATGAGAAAGGATAACGTATGTTCAGGTAAAATTTATTTATCTTTTATTTTTTGTATTTTTTAAAATAATAGTAGTGGTTCCGCCGAGTTTCTGATTGGTTAATATTTTTTAATTAATCGGTTTTTGGTCAGATACTGAATATGATTTTAGTTTGATAACGTCTTTTATTCTACAGTTCGAGTTGCTAACGTATTTTGTTCTACAGTTCTATTTGCTAACGTATTTTGTTCTACAGTTGGATAACGTTACTTTTCGATTATGATGTGCAGTGCTATGAATTGCGAATATTTAAACACGAAAATTTTTGGAAGTTAGAACTGGAAGGAAAGCTTGCTGTAATTCAATGGGCAGTAGATGCCGGATTGCTGCCGAATTTTAAAAATCGCACCATGGCCGCACCGTATACTAGGATTTGGAAGGAACGTGGAGTGCTGTTAAGCGTGGGATGAAGGGGACGAAAAAGGTAAGCGAAGAGTTTGACTCTTATTTGGTGGAAATATATGGTGGCGGCGCCTGAAAAATAATAAATCGTCATCCGAAAAAATGAAAGACTTTATATTTGCAATAAAAGCAAATATATCCGCCACCCGAGTTTGAGGGCCATGGCATTTGAGTTATGATATAGACCCTAAAACATATGTGACACTGAGCCATGGTATTTAATTTATTATATTTGATATGTGAATGTTTTGTATTTGTTGCGATGCATGTTGAAAATTATATTTTTATTTGTTATAAAGTCTGTTAAAAATTATTTTCAATTTCTAAATGCTTGCTTTTTTTTCTTGTGTCTCACCGTATGCTTAGGATTTATTATCTTATGATTATCATTTTGTTTACTTTTTTCGCCAACTCAAACTTGTGGTGACGCTTTACTTTGAGGTTGCCAAAAATTTGGCGACAAACGTAAACGCATCATTTTGGTGTTGGCGACAATTTTAAAAAATCGCGCCAAGGCCGCACCGTATACTAGGATTTTACCGAAAGAAGAGTTAATTAAAGGCTGAAATAAAAATTTTATGAATAATTAAAAACAAACTAAATATTCTACAAATCCAGTGCAGCAGACGGAGCAACTGCCTTGTTTGTTTACATTAGCTACGTCACTCAAACCTTGAGGTCAGCGGAATAAATGTCATTGAAAGTGCTAAACAGTTGAAATTTAACATTTTGTATTTTAAGTGTTTATATAGAAGAGATTTTTCATAATAATTGCATCTAATAACGACGGAAAAAATATGCTACCGTTCAGCCACAGTATTTACATTGCTTGTACCATGTGAAAGCACTGCAACTACTACGCTCGATGCCTCTCGTCCGTTAGCGCCGTATTGTAATTGTGACGTAAAAGCTATATTGTAAGTATTAAAGCTGTTGAAGTACATAATACTTGATTATAACGAAGTGAAAGATGGTTTTGACACTTTGTGGTTATCAAATAATACTTAATTACCTTTCCATATGTAAGATAGTATTTTTTTTATATATGTTGCCTGTGGCGTTCCTATTAAATGATGCCGTTGTATTTTGTTGATTAGGATATAATATGAATAATAACGGGTATGATTGTTATATTGGATTGTAAAAAGTTGATTTGTGTTTTAACTGTACTAAGTTATACAATGTCTGAGGATTATACAGAGTATGTATTAAGAATTAATTTTTTTTTCGCTGCCAATTTCAAAATGGCGCGCCACACCTTGCACAGCGAAGCCAGAAGCCTTATTGCCCAGCTTTCGGTATTGGGATTAGTATATTCTTCCTTTGGGTTGTATAAATCATGGTAAGTGTTAAATTCCTCGAGTACTGATGTGCAAGGTAAGACTATGTAGGTACCAAATTGAAGTGCTTGGTTTAATTTGCAGAATTTAAGTAATTTCAATATTTTTTTTCCATTTTTGTGAATTTAATTATGTTGATAAAGCGTAGCTTTGTACAGATATCGAGATAATGATACAATCTCTATGCTTTTTTATATCACGGCATTTTAACTAATTAATGAAATATCTCGGGAGTACGAAAGTAAAACATGTAATTTATAAAGGGTGAGAATTTGATGGTAGCCTAAGAATTGTGTGCAAAATATAATGTATTTGTGTTGCTTTTTCATGTAATGTTTTGAGAAAATATCACATGCAGATTTTACACATTGGTTTCTTTTATATTTTAATTTACTGTATGCACTAAAATATTTAAAAAAATCACATAATAACTTAAATATTATGTATTAAAATTCTGCACTAAAATATTGAGTCCTTTTTCAATTGTATAAGATCTCGTAACACAAAAATTAAAGTGTGTAAATTTTCACCAGCAGTTTTCAAGAATGCTAGTTGCTATAATTAATATGTAAATTTGCTTTAACCAATTAAACTTGTGAAATCTTTTAGGCTCACTCATGAAATTGTGTATTTGTATAACTTTTATTATTATGATTTGTACAATTATTATTGTTTTCATGTTATTCACATCAAAATATATATTTTTTTATTTTATTTTCAAAGAAAATAAATGAAACATGAAAATATATGTGGTTAAATATTCATAAGTAAGAAAATATAGTTAAAAGATATGCAGGCTGAAATATTTTTATTATACCGTTTCATTAGTGGTACGCTAGGCCATGTATGCAAGTACTATAACATTAACGTATTGTTTTAATAAAACTCTTATACTGTTTCATTAGTGGTACGCTAGGCCATGCATGCAAGTACTATAACATTAACGTATTGTTTTAATAAAACTCTTACTGTGAAAAAATAATTTATTGCATCTGCTAAAAAGGCATGAAATTCAGAAAAAAATAGAGTTTTTGAATGTAAGTGTTTGTCACTAGAATGATGATGACTTTGTTTAGGTGAAAATCATTGAGTCTCTTCACACCTGTTTAACATGGTTTAAGTTGTTGCCAATCAGGGAAGTAAAAGTTTTGCATGCATAAATGTGTAGCTGATTCGGCAAACCTCTCAACCGATGTTTGCCCCATTGTGGTTGGTAGGCTCTTCTTCTGATGTAGCAAAGTCTGCCACTGAAGCTCGACTTAAATGTGATTTTGAAACCTTCATGTTGAAGGAACTTTTTTTAATTCCACTTTTCACTGCCCTGATAAAGCTTATCTATTTTAGTATGATGATCAGCCTTTTATATTGTCAAAATTATGTATACAATTCATAGTGAAGTGTCAGTAGTCAACAGCTTGCAATGCATCAATCTCTTACACCTTGTAGCTATCTGAAAAAATACTTTCATTATTGATATTTTCCTCAGTGAAGGTTTGAATAGAACAAAACAGACTAACAAAAAAAAAATTGGCTGGACTAGAGTTTACGGCTCATTCGTCAAGTTGTGCTGAAATAGCACCATGGAAAGTCGTTATAGTTTAGGGTTACAGTTTATATTATTTAGAGGGGACATCATGGAAAGTTGTTATGGTTTAGAGTTACAATTTATACTATTTAACCAGGCTTTTCGAATATTTGTCATTTCATTATTTGTGTTTTTACATGTGTCGTGTTCCTTAACCCCAAGGTATTTGAGGTGCCGTTAAGAAAGCAGTAATATTTATGCTGACACCTGCAAGTATAAAAATATCGGTATTTGTCATTTAATTGTTCCTTTCGTGAATAGTGTGAGCAAAATGGCTGCCATCAAAACAGTTGAACGTGTGAAATTTGCTTATTTGATTCAGTTGCAAATAGATGTTGATAGAGTAGTGCATGAATTATAGTTTGATTTCGAATGTCCCGGGGGTAAAAATAATATGAAATCAGTTGAAAGGAAAGATGTAACAGATTTGTGTGAATGGAGATGTCGTGCGTCTGGTCCTTCCAAGCACAAGGTCAAAAGAAGTATGGGAAAGGGCTCTTGGTTTTTCCGGAAGGACAAATACCTGTCAGTCTGATCCATCAATTAACATATTTCTAGGGTCAAAACGCACGAATCAGTTTATTATGGATGATTGATTAAAATGGTTGAATTGGAAATACGGGAATTGATTAATATAGATTTTGATTTAAATATAAATCACAATAAAAGTAATTTTCATTAGATGCAAGTAAGTACATAGTTGAAATGAGTGTGCCATTTTCAAAAGTTTTAGCTCATATATGAATCAATATTTTCGTTCTATTTATTGTTGATTAGTTTTTTTAATTTAGTGATAAAGCGTTTTACACTCTTTTTCTACTATTTCAAAAATGGTATATGATATTATGAAAAGTTTTAATATTGTTGATCTCATAAAATACATAGTCGTTAACTTTCAAATGCTTTTTCATTGTTTTTGTCAAACTTCTGTTTTAAATATGAATTCTTTGCATGTTTAGAGGATTCAATCAAAATCATATTGCGACAAGTTACCGATTTTTCTACAGTTGACGAAATAACTCATTTGGCGAATTGACAATTTTTCAAACATGTGCCAAACTCTTCCATAATATCCAGTTTTACTAAACATTCATTTGGTGTACATCCTAGTCTTCTCAAATCTTATGGTTTTTTAAAGACTATGGCCATGTTGTCTCTTTCCCCCCTCCTTTCTCATTTTGGTGAATAGATTTTCATCTGTTTCAGCAATTTTCTTGCATTTGGCAAATTTAAATTTTACATATATCGTTTCATATCAAAACATTAAGATATACAATATAAAGTCCGTAATCCGGATTCGTCGGGACTTGGGCGATTCCAGATTACGGGGTTTTCCTGATTATAGATCACCAATTTAAATCTGGTAAGATGGCATGAAGAAATTATAAAATTAAAAATATCAAATCGTAATTTATGAAATAAAGGAGCAATGATGATCTAAAGGGTATCAAAATTTATTTAAAAAAAAAATCATTTGTTTACTTTATTAAACATTTCTTTCAAATGCAAGTTGTTTAAGCTGCTTCGTTTTTTGTGCTAAACGCATGTGCGTAAAGCATACAAAAAAAGTTTGTGGCTTTGAGGTCCGGATTGTAGATCATTCCGAATAATGGACGTCCGGATTACAGACTTTGTACTGTATTTTATGCATATAACTATACCAATTCACTGTTGGATTTTAATTTGCGACTCCATATCTAAATATATGCATCTGGTTGTAATGAAAGTTTTCCATGAAAAAACGTTCTGCCTAATCTTTAGAATATGGTAACGGGTAGTTTGGCGACATTTTGGTAAGGCGATAAAGGTTACTAGCTAGGACTTAGCAATAATCTAAGTACACAGTTTGAATCACAGATTATTTTGTCTCAGAGAAATGAGAGATTATGAGACATGTACTGTGACATTTTCCGGAAAATTCCGATCGTGATTTTAGCTAATAAGCACTTAAAAACAATTTCGCTGCTAAAGTGCAAAAGTAAGAAGAATTAAATTTTTGTCAATTTTCTTTGACTTTTTAAGTGAAAATAGGTCGATGTGTACATAGATAAAGTCAAGCGTGTGCGCAATGCCATTTTTGTGCAAATCTGAGATTTTTTTTAAGTGAAAATAGGTCGACATGTACATGGATACCGTGCATGTGCAATTCTTAAAAATGCGGCAAGCAATTTTCGATTTTGCACTTTCTCCCAATTTTGCACCTAATCTTCGTCATGATTAAGCACTTTTGTTCCATAGAAGTTCTAGTATAAGCGTAATTCGGCCAGCAGATTGTTGTAAAAAACGCTGAGTAAAAAAAAAAAAAAAAGCGTTTACTTCGTGAAAACAAAATGGCACCCAAAACAAAACTAGCAGGTTGCTGTAGCAGTGTTGGTCGCCAAAAAAACGCCGAGTTACCATAATGTAAAGATTCACCAACATTCCTAATAAAGTTTAAAAAAAATCATGAAAGCAGGACCTTTAGTTTAGGTAGTAATCACCACCCAAATCTGTGATTTTTTGCCAGTGTTTTGGTATTTTTTGAAAGGTTTTGGCTAAAAAACTTGGGGGCCGCGAATCCAAAAACATGTCAGCCTCATTTTGGACGTCCCGAGCAGAATGGAAGATAGCGCCAGCAAGATGTAGCTGCAGGTGTCCGAAAGAGTGATGTGCAGGCTATGTGGTGAGTGAAGTAAAAGATACCATTCGAGTCCGTACAGCCAGTGAATACGGACACATGTAGGCATTATCTTGATGAAAATTACCGTATTCACCGTAACTCTGTTCGACATTTTTCCAGCATCAGCACGGACTAGCATATTGCTGTATACCTTACTGTCAGGGGGTTTTACCTTTTTCCAGATACTCTTTTTGAATAATACCACCAGCTACAAAGCATAATCTTTTTGTTGGTCAAATTACGCTTTACCAGGTGCAGACCAATTCTCTTTTCACCCTGTGTTGTTGAAGTAAATCCACCTTTCATCACACGTGGCGATTCAATCCAGAATTTTGTCTTTGTGTTTATATTCAAGTAAATTAGTACAGACCCGAACACATCTGTCTTTATCTGTTTGATTCAGTTCATGCGGAACCCAATGATTGAACTTGTACATCAAGTTTATGTGATGCATAGAGCGACTGATGGACATGGCACTAACATCATAACTCCTTCGCAAGATCTCGCATGCTTGCATACTAAAACTTCACAAGTTTTCGCCGGCAGGCCGCATCAACATCAGTAGGCTGACCAGTCTAAGAGACCTGCTTCTTGAATGTCATAGTCCTTATTTTTTAACTTTTAGTACCAAACTTTTGCAATGTTTAGTGATACGTTATTATTTAAAGCTGTACACATGATTTGGTGACATTCTATAGCTGTCTTTATGCAATAGAACTGAAAGTAAACGATGGTTCTAATCTGGTAATGTGATAGTTCTATTTCAGATACCTTTTACTTAATGATAACAATATTTTTTAATTTCACAACACAGTGTTCTAAAGCAAGTCTCTTTCTTTCAGATGTCAAAAATTGTTTTAACAAAATATGATTAAACACACTAACACAAACTGTTTGTGCAGACGATATTTGCAGTGGCAGGAAACTTTCATTAAAACCTGATATATTTATCAAACAGCAATAACAAAAAAAAAAAAAAAATTTTTTTTTTCCCCCAGTCCATGTTTGGGTTCACAATTTTTCCTTTTTCCGCCGTGATCATAGGTTGCAGTTCCACTTCAGTAACTAAACGATTTCGTTATGTTTGAATATAAATACTTCATCAATGTTTAAAACATTTGATGGTAGTTTCTCTGCCAATTGGCAATTATAAAATGTATCTCATTTTGTGGGTGAAAAATTTAATTGCAAATAATAGGAAGGAATTTTGAAATTTTTTTACAATTCCTTCTGTTATGTTAATATCCTTTGTGCACTATCTGGTTGGAAAAATTAGTGTACTTGTCTACATTTCACTGCTAATCAAAAGTTCTGATATTTGTATAGCAATGTGTAATAAAAGAGCCTGTTAACATTTAATTATTATTATTATTGGAGGTGCTAATGCAATAAGAATCAATATAATATTCATAAATTTGCAGGACTAGTTTCAAAGATTTAAAATATAGTATTTAAATCTTCAAAACTAGTTCTGCAAATGTCTCACCATCTTCAATAATCGTCATTCGACGTGTTATGTTAACTTATATTTAAATATTAGCTTGTAAAAATTTTTGTTTTCATCTTCTTTTAGTTTCTTTTCATTGCCCCCCCTTTCAGTTTGGTTTAGATTTTTTGTTGGTAGGTCTTTCAGGTGTTATTATTGTCATCTGATCAGTACTTATGAAAAATTTATAATACTGGCAATTACTAATATTTTAAGTATCTTTTACTTTTCATTAAAAGTGACCAAACCTCTTCCCCTTTAAAAAAAAAAAAACATAATTGCATTTGTTTTTTGCAAAACTTATGAAAGTTAAGCTAGGGTACCAGCTGGGTGTTTTAAATTTTTTCTATTGGCCGCAGCACACATTGTACTCATCTTTGTGTAGAATGATACGGGAATTGTAACTGTAAGAGAAGTAATTCATCATCTTTGTTCCTAAATCCTAATCCTCTATCAAATTTTCACCGACTCAAAAAGGTATTGTTACATCTAAATGTTCTGGTATGTAAATTTTAAAGAGCAATTTACTCACAACCTTAAAATCTAAATCATCTTATTTTTGCTACAAATAAAAATGGAAGTTGCTAAAGCACATCAGTGTTTGACATTAAAGTACTGACATCCAATGTTGAATGTCTTGATCGAAAGACCTTCAACTCATCTGTTTTGGTAGCATTTTCTTGAGTGTAAATTAAATGGCCCAGTCTGTGATAAGAAATTTTTTATTTGCTGTAATTTATTACTCCTGGCAAAATATGAGTATTGAATGACTGCTTGCACAAGTAGTAAATTCAGTAACTGTTATAAATAGGACCCAACCTCATGAAACCAGTTTTCCATTTTCTGTAATCCATGCATTATTGATCTAAATATCTCTAGCACCAAACTCTGTCTATTTATACTTTCTCTTTTAGAGTACTTCCTGGAGTTGAAATGTTTGCTTTACCTTCAAAAGCTACAATAGAAATTTAAAAAGGTCATTTATGTGTCTCGCGCTTTAGAAAAAGTTTCTGCGTTTATTAATGGTGATTTTTCAGAAGACATTCATTATCTGTTTTTTTCTTTTAGTGTTCTTGTTTATTACTTTTGTATATGCATTTTTAAATAATTTTTAATCCTGTGTTGGGAAAGTATTTTATAAAATTGAAAACTAAAAATTGCAGCTAAATCGGTTTTTGTGTTTTCTTATTGGTGATTATGAATTAGTTACTACTTTTCCGAGTTGTAACCAAACAAGCACTGCCAATATTAATCTGATACCGTAAATTTACTGCAAACACAGTAATAAAAATTTGCATTATAATGGTGTTTAATCAACATTACTTAACAAAAAAAATATTGTGTTACATTGAAAATTTGACGTTCATAATTGAGCTATTAAATGTGTTGCTGCCAACACTTCACAACTTAAAATCTGTTAGATACGAGTTCAGGTGCTGTCTTGCAGTACATATTGGTATAATAGTTTTTATTTCATGGATCCCCAGAATCTGTGGTCTCCATATAACCCCATTTTTATGCTCCATAAAGTTTTATTTATTGTTTTCTTTCAACTATTGAAAGCTGCCTTCTTCTAATTCTACAGTTTTGTAGCATGCCAGAAGTTTGCAAAAATGATTGTGTTGTTCTCGATGTGTTTTAACAGTTTCTTTGTAAATTATAGTAGCTTTCTGATAGGTACCGCTAGGCTATCTATGGGATATCGATATCATGACATAGGACCAAGTTCATCGGCTGTCATGCCATGCAGCTGTAGCACTTACTTTCTTGTAAGCATATTGTGTGACCGTTTGGACAGAAAAACACAGCTTCTTTAATCAACACTTTATCAATATTGCAAAATAACGCCACCTATTTGTAATATCTGCAATTAACTAAATTTGATGTTTTGCAATGTTTGGCTTTCATGGCTCCTAAACCAGTAAGTACCATTTAAATGTTGTCACACTTTGCCATTTTTCAAAACTAGGCTATTTAAAGTTATGTAATTTGCAATATTTTGTTTAAAACTGCAGAAATTGAAAAAGTTTATATGCCTAATACTGAGCAGCACATTGAAAAGCTTCTCTTGACCTTGCTGAGCGAGAGGACTAAAAAATTAAAAAGAAAAAGGAAAGCTTTGCCACAAATGTCATTCCGGTGGTATAGCAGGATGAGAAAATTCGGACAGAAGATAAGTTTGAGAATTTTTTTAATCTTTGTATGCAAGGCAGTTGTGTTATTTTGGAGATGAACCAGTAAGATAATGATGATGGGAGCCGATCAGATTTACAACAGTCATGTGACAACTGAAGAAAAAAAGAAAAAGCACTGCAGTTAAAAAAATGGAAATTTATAAAATTAGTGGGAAAACGATCCAGCTTTTGGCTGGTTTGCTGTTTACTGTAGTAGTGATATCATTGAGGACTTGAAAGAGACAGAATAAAAAAAATTCATGTTGTGGTGTAGAAATAAATAAGATTTTGAAATTAGTTTGCTGAAAAGGAAAATCATAATAGTACAAGCTTGAATGATATAGTAAGCAGAGGTAATCTTTCACAAAAGTAGTGGGAAAAAACAAAACTAATATGATTAATAGTCGAATTATTTCGAGTGAAATTGATATAACTTCCTATCCAGTTTAATGAGATTTGGCGACATTAACTCACATGATATGTTCATGCATTTGTCAATAGAATGAAGTATTAAATTTGTTTTTATGGAAAGTTTTGGAAATTAACTTTTTCTGCAATATGTATGTGTTTTCTATATTAATACTTATATTTAAGTAGCATGTTTTTATTCTGTAGTTAATAAATCACTCTTTCTGTAACAATTATGCTAGTTAAACTTATGCAATTTTTTTGCTTGTATTTTTTTAACTTTAATACATATTTTTCAATTTTCTTTTGCTTGTAGAATTTGTAAAAAGTATCTAACTCCAGAAAATGGTGGCAAAAAATCTTGAAGTAGGAGATCTTGTTTGGGCAAAAATGAAAGGCTTTCCAGCATGGCCAGCCAGAATAATTGAACCTCCAGCATCAAAAGCAAGTAAACCCAAGAAAGCGCACCATTATGTTTATTTTTTTGGTTCAGATAATCATGCGTGGATAATGGACGATAATATTGTACCGCATGCAGACAGTATGCTGGAGGAAGCTAGTAAAAAAAAGCGTTCACCTGCACTTCAGCATGCTGTTGAAGCTATTATAAATTACAGTAAAAACAATGTGAAGAAAGATAAACCATCAACACATAAAGCTGATAAGGCAGATGGTCATGTAGCGAAAGATTCTTCTAAAAGTAAATCACCTCAGATCGTCAATAGTGTTACAAAAAGGCGTGAAAATAAAGTATCAAAAAAAATTAAACCTCCCAAAAAAGTTACGGTGTTAAAATTGAATAAGAAAACACCAAGGAAACGTCCATCATTTGATGACTCTAATAATAACATCAGTGAACCTGTATCTCCTAAAAGAAACAGGGTGACTAATGATGATTATTCTTCACTGCTGAACAGTGTTCCACCCAATGTTAGTTACACTCATATTCCACCATATAATGATCATGTGTCTCCTCATCCATCTCCTTCAATTTTGGGTAGACCAGCTTACGTTGAAAGACAGCCTACTCCTCCTCTCGATATTGAAACGATCAGTGAAACATTGAAGACAAAGCATGTGAAACCAACTGATAAAAGAATTGGCTTTTTAGGGTTGGGCATAATGGGTCGAGGTATTGTTAAGAACTTGTTAAATTCAGGACATTATGTAACAGTTTGGAATCGAACTCCAGGGAAAATGGAAAGTTTTATAAGAGCCGGTGCGCATAGAGGTATGACTCCAGCAGATGTTGTTACGGCTTCCGATATAACATTCTGCTGTGTTTCTGATCCAGAAGCTGCAAAATCTTTGGTTTTTGGAAATTGTGGTGTATTGAAAGCTTTAGAAACCTGCGGTGATGTTGGAAAAGGATATGTGGAAATGACTTCTATTGATCCTGATACATCTCGAGAAATAGCTGAAGCCATATCTACTAATGGAGGCAAGTATCTTGAAGCTCCAATCAATGGTTCAAAGAAACAAGCAGAAGAAGGCACTTTATTTATACTTGCTGCTGGTGACAGATCTTTATTTGCAGATTGTGAAACTTGCTTTCATGCAATGGGAAATCATGCATATTATATTAGTTGCGAAGTAGGAAATGGTTCAAAAATGAACCTTATTCTTAGCATGCTTCTCGGAACATCATTTGCAGCTCTGTCTGAAGCAATGGCTTTGATAGAAAGATCAAAACTTTCGCAGGATGACTTTTTGGAGATTCTTACATTGGGTAGCTTACAATGTCCAGCACTGATAGACAAAGGTCAGGCAATACTTGTAAGAAATTTTGCGACTAATACACCTCTGAAACATATGCAGAAAGACTTGAATTTAGCCCTGGTAATGGGCCATGAACTTGAGCAGCCTATGCCTCTTGCTGCTGCTACAAACGAAGTCTATAAACATGCGAAACTTCTCAGATACTCTGATCATGATGTTTCCTCTGTGTATATGGGTTCAAAATACTGATAGCAGACTGTTATTGTGTTGTTATTTACTAATGTTTCTCAAGAGCAAAAAATTTTTGCCTTTTTTGCAAAATTCGTTGTAACTGTTAACCGATAAAAAGTGTCATTTGTAAATCTTATTTTATGATTCTTGTCCATTCAGACATGGATTGCCGAATAATCGCATTGTGGGACCACTGTGATGCATTCATTCACTGTCGTCATGTTTTTAAATCATTAAACTTTTATTTCGTGTCCATCAGTTCTTTTACTATTTTAAAATCATTTTAGAATACTCAACAAAATCAGATGTGTCAAAAAAATGAAATATGTACGTTTCACAACTATTTGGAATCTGTGTATGAATTAATATCCGTATCAAATAAATGGTCAATTTATCATAAAATAAATTTCTCTGGGATTTTTTGTGTCTTTGTGAATGTATTCATTAGTGTTCAAAATAAAGATTACATAAATAATTCACTCTTTGCATGTGTTAGGCCTTTTGTTTTAAATTAAAAAACATTGCTTTCAGATTACCTGCAAATAAAATGTTAAATGTTTTTCTATGGTGAATTTTTAAAGGTTATATGGCAAACCTTTTAAAGCAAAGGTTCAAAGCATTTGTTTGACCCCTTTAGCGATTTTATGTGAAATACTGTAAGTCTGCAGAAAGTTTTACACATTTCCTTCCATTGCAGCAAAAAAATAATGTATGTTAAAAAAAAAGTTTAAAAATTATTGAAGCTCAATATACAATGAAAAGAACACTATGAGAATGATAGCTGTAACTGAAGAATAGCTTATGTTCATTATTATTAGGGATTGGCACATTCTGAAAATTTTGACATTTGTGCTAAGGTAGTTGCACTAATATGTAAATAAAAAATTACATAGAATCAGGTATATGAATAAAATGTGAATTGGGGAAAAATAACATATGAATGTTAAGGAATAACATGAATGAGCAACATGCAAATTTTCTGTTCATCACTCTGTCATAGGGAAATAGCAAACAAGTAAACACATGAAGTTTTTCTGATTATCGTGTTAAAATAACGAACAAGTTAATTGAAAACTAGACATCTATATTTACATTTTATCTCTTAATTTGGTACATTTCGGAAAAACTTCATCTTTGTTGAATCTAGAGGTACTTGTAATACATATTATGAAAATTTGATTTTGCTGTATATAAATATTATATGAACTCTTCCCCCCCCACCCCCAAAAAAAAGATTAAATGGCATTTGGTTAAAAAAAATTGCTTCTCGTCTTATTTATATGAGTGTAAAGCAACAGCTAAATTTCCCATGTATAGTATAGATTAGCCTATGTGCAGTAATAGATAATAGCTAAAAGAGTAAGGTATTCTTCATTAAGGTTTTGACTATCATAAAGGTAAGTTAGCAAGCTGATAGCCAATATGAAGTAGGTAAAAATATATTTTCTATTTGAAATAACATAAACTGGGCTCTTCACTGCCAACAGGTTATAGACATTGTGATTTAAATGAGCTTTAAGACAAAGTAAATGTGGAACAAATGAAGCATTTGCTAGTGACCATTTTAGCTGTTTGGTTTATCCAAGTTTTGGAATATTATAAAAATCCGGCAGCTTGATGATTGAAGTTTATCAAGCATATTATTTACCTGTGTGTACCAGACTATAGCTGAATGGAGAAGACTGTCAAACAGTGATGATTCCTTTTAAATTTAGGCAAACAGAATAAGTTGCATGAGGTTGTCATTGTTTTTGCCATGTAATATAATATAAACTTGACCATAAAGGCATCCCTTCTAAAAGATACTCATTATGTATATTGTACTTTAATAAATTAACCAATATCACTTCAGTCTTTAACCTATGTGTTTCAGATTCATCTGTTAGTCAAGTGTGTGTGATTGAGTTGTAAACTCTCAGACATATTTCACTTTTATATATTTTTAGGGATTTTAAAGACCTTTTAAATGACAGTAATGGTGAAGAACATATTGAAATTTGGAGGGATCTGATTTAATGAGTAAGGTATTATTTTTATTTTTGTGCTTTAGAAATCCCCCAATGTTTAAGCTTTAATTTATAAATTTTGTAAGTAATTGCTGAACATTATCTGCACGTACTTATCCATGCATTTGAGATATTTTTTAAACATGATAAATAATCGATAGCTTTAATGGAAGAATAGAAATAGTTTTTATACTTTATAATAGTGATCCTTAGGCAGGTAGGTAATCAGTTATTGCAAAGCAAAGGATGTTTCCTGAAAGAAAAGTGAATACTTCCTGCCTGAGTTTTTTTAAAAAAGTCTGATCTTGTATGCAAAGTTCATCCATATTAAACTCCTAGAATTAGCCTTGTACTAAACTGACATGATTTGCAGCTGCTAGTCCCAAATTCATAAAGTAATGAAAATGTGAAACATGTTTATAATTTGGTATTTCTATCCTTGTTGCAGAAATTTCACTAATAAAAAGCAAGGGATTCATTCATTTGTTATTAGAACCTGTTTTTTTGTTGAAGCAAAATAATATGCAAAACTGATTTAAACTGATTTTCTATAATATGCAAAACTGATTTTCATACTATTGATATCTATATAATAAATTTGATACTTTTCTGTTATTCACTGGATTCGGAAATATGTTTGCATGTATGTGTTCATGTATATATGTAGGTACATATTCCGGCGCCAATAACAGAAGAGTACAGTAAATTTCTCCCCTTTTTTCTTCCTTGTATGAAGTACAGGAGGTATTGTAATCAAGAAAAATTCCAGATACTATAGTTCAATGAAAATAGCCATTTTGACCACTATTGAATGAGGTTTAACCATGATTTTGTTGACATCTGTACATAAGGACAGAATAAGGGACTCTTTTCCAAAACAAATTTTAAAACTTCTTTAAAATGGATTCGAAGAGATTTTTCTGTGGCGTCTGAACCAACTTATGCATCTCTCATAACTCAGAAATGAATAGCCTCAGAACATTGAAATTTTGTATATAAGACTTCTATAACATGTAGCTTCTATTTTGGTTGCAATTGGCCGCACAAAAAGTATATGAATATATATAGATCCACTCTGTTACTCATCTCAGTGAGCTCATTTTTTTTTATTCTTATATGTTGGTAAATTGTGCATTTTTTCTTTAAAAATGATTGAATTTTGTTGTCCTTATCTTCCAGTTAAGGTTTTTATGCCTTTAGTTAATCTGCATACAAGATTTGTAGAATTATCAACAAGTTAAAAGTTCTTTATATGTGGTTAAGTTTATTTTTTTTAACCGTAGAAACTGTATTTGTTTATATTTGAAACAGCAGAATAGTGAATTAATCTTTCTGCACCTTCATTGTCTTTTTGCCGAGTGGGACCAAAAGTCAAATTTTACTTTTGTGCACCGAGAAATCTACCTTCTTGCCCGCTGGCCAAACTTCTTGTTTTTGCATAGAAACTTTTTTAATTGTAAAAATTTATTTTACGATATTTGGTGTTTTATCTTTCTCTGTATCTTTCAATTTTTAATGAAAATATTTTCAAGTTTTTTTTATGTACTTTTGCCTTGCCGCGAAGTGAGAGCTGAATTAATTGAATGAGAAATATATCTCTAATCAAATTCGAGAAAATGAGTTTAAATAAAATGTATGTAATTTAATATTCCGTACAAGGAAGTTGTGGTGTACACATCGGCTTTTTTAATCTGATATACAAGGATGTGGGTGAACTTTATTTTGTATCTCTAAGATGTTAAAATTTACTACTATGATAATTATTTTATATCAACAGATTCCACCTAAACTTATATCGTGTTATGGAGTGTCCCTTTCATTATCGGAAGGGCATGAAAAAGCATAGGTGTAATCTGTTAATGTAATTTATTTTTTACAACAGAGTAACATGCCTTACATAATATTCGGAAGTAGTTTTAATATTCATATATTACTGTTATATGTACTACAATTTGCTTCAATTAAAATTTTAAAATAATAAATACAGTGAAAAAAGATAAACTATAAGATACATTAAAAAAGTGTAAAAATAATTTTTGCAGAGCCATTTTCTAATTTTTTGATGCTGTTCTGCCCATTTACATAGTGATCTATTTTCTTTTAAAAAACATCAGAAAATTGCACTAGCATGACATTGCACACCTTCTATCTACCAAATGTATCACATCGTCGTTGCCTTTATTAATTTCGTGGCAGGGTACCATGTTCCTGCAGAACTTTTACCTCTTTCCCTTATCATGGCAAATTCCACAAGCAATATTTTAAAATTGAGTTGAAGGCAAAATTTATTATTATTTGTCCATCTGTTGGAACCTGAAATACAACAAAAAGGGGGATGCTTGGCTGAAGGTTTGTTAAAGTATATCACAGTATAAAAATTTGGCTACTTCTACTAAGGTGGTTACCATATAGCACATAAACATTAATAGACTGATTATTAGAACCAATAAAATTGAGTCGTTTACAAGGATATTTATTCAGTAGTGCTGTTAAAATTCCCAAATTGATTTAAATTTTGAAATAAGTGTGGCTTGTTGTCATGGTTGAAAGTGTTGCTTTAGCATTCCATAACTTTTTAAAAAAACAACTGTATTTTATAGTTATGCAGTATGATAAAAGGTTCAAAAGTTTTACGGACATTAAAATTGAATAAAAAAAATGTAGAAAGGATTTATCTGACAAAAGTCAAATTTTACAGGTGGAGCAAAAAATTACGAGATTGATGTAATTAGTATCGATGTAATTCAGCTTTTTTTTTTTTTTTTATGTCTGTTGACATTCTTGTAAGAAATATGGTAGTTTTTTTGTTCCTCCTATAAGATTTTGTTTTTATCACACAAGCCTGTGTTTACATCTTTCAATTCATTTCAAGACTCCGTGTTTACCTTATGTTTAAGTTGAATGGAAATTTATTTTATTCAGTGCAACACTGTGCCTGTTGTCATTTATTAGTCACCATGGGATCTATCAAAAAAATAAAACATTAGCAAAATGTGTCAAGTAACTATTATGGTTAAAATACTGTAGTACCCAGCATACTATAATTTTCTTTCTCCATCTTAATTACAAGATCTTAAGCTTTCTGATAACATCATTCCATAGCATTGCACAAAAGAACCTCAAAGGGTGCTGAAGGAAAGAATGTTTTTCGGTGAACTTGTTTGAAAAGAAAAAAAATGTATCTGTTGCAAAAAGGCAGTTCTGTCTAGGAAAAATAAGCAAAACCTTGAACTCTAGGGAAATTCCAAACCAAAAATATCATTCTTTAGGGGTGGTATGCAACAAATTGTCAGTTTCACATAAACAGCCATCTGTTGGCTAATAACAAACCTTCTCAGAAGTGTTAAGAATCATTAAGAGCTTAATCAGAATTTCCCATATAAATGTAATGCATTGCACCCTTGCCACAATGTTTAACTACGTATGGAACTGAGATTATTCGTTTGGGAAGAGAATCAATTGTCATTTGCATCCTAAATTAACATATTTACCAAGGAAACAAAAAGTCCTGTTTATTCCAATTTTACACTGAATTTCTTGCTATGTTATAAACATGAATAAATACCTTAATAATATACTAACCTTGTATATTAATGTTAGTGTATACAGTTTACATTTCAGATATTCCGTGTACAAGAAGTAGTTAAATGAAATCACACAGAAAAATAATCTTTAAATGAGAAAATGTAAATAATTAAATTCTTTCTGTGTATTCATAAAATTCAGTTTTAAATGCTCACATTTGTATACATTTAACTTTGTTTTCTTCTGTGAGGATAATTTCCTTTTGAAATGACTTTACTTGTATAATGTTCGGAAATTTTAGTTTCTAAATCAGCAGCTCAGTTTTTCTGTTTATGATAATTGCATCATTTATGAAACCATTTCTGCCATCATCAGAAGTATTTACAGATGGAAAATTTGAGGGAAGGAAGCGATTAATGCATGCACCTAAAAGTGTTGCTGTAAAAAAAAAAAAAAAAAAAAAAACTTTTATTAAATTTGAATTTGCATCAGTTTTTGAAATTTTAAATCACACTAAGGTGGAACTTTCTGAAATCTCTAATGAATTGTTTTTTATTGTTATGCCATCAATAAATTCAGATGGCTTAAAATCTTTGGTCCAGATGATTGTATTGCTTGTGATGTCTCATCATATGTATTTATTTTTTAAGAAACATTTAAAACTGTATTTATTGCAAAAACATAACCAACAGTTCAATTTTATTACAGATTGTGTTCAATAGTTTGGATAAGCATAGATTAAAATTTTAAAATGTGGCCGTAGTGGCTAATGGTACATCGCCATTGATTATGAAAAGAAAAAAAAAGAATTAAACTCTGGGAATTCAAACTCAACTTTAAGAAAATGTTGAGCAAGACCTTGATTGTAACATATGTCTTGAGAATTTAATGGGAGAGAAATATAATAATTCAGAGATTCAGTGTTATAATAAAAGGGAATTTAACTTCAACGAATTAAAACTATCACATACATTTAACCTTATTTACTATCACATAGAGTAGAGTAGAATACATTTCATACATTTATCTGAAATTCAGTGATTAGTGAAAACTAGATACTAATTTAGCTTCATCTAAAATCTGTGTAGTTGAGGGGAAATCAACGCAAATATCATCAGTATGATTTTGTGGTTTGACATTGTCCACTAATATTTCTATTCATATGAATGCATTGAAACAGCAGAGGAAATAAGCTTCTGATTTAGTGATACACATCAGCATCTTAAATAAAATTATTCCAGATCTTAGCTGCAAAATAGCAGTGCATGTCAATTTCCAACATGAGAGTAATTGTATTTAAAAAAAGCAATTAGATATTTTTATAATAAGTTATATCAAGAAATTACAGTTATCATATAAAAAAATGAGTTACAAAAATAATTTTTTAAAACTTTCAAACATCTTTTTGATAATTCCTATAAAAGGGCTGAACCTATATTATAACTTTAATTAAAGGATCTATAGTGCAGTGAACTTAAAACTCTTACG